AATAATACATGGGTAAGGCACTGCGGGCAATAACGCGTGAGATCCATAATACAGGTTTTTGTTGTTGGGTTAGATCGCGTGAATATGAATGTGTCTCGATTTAAAGCTTTCGTGACTGCAGGGATTCATTTTCTTGGTTCTTTCGGTAAAGTCACGTAGAAGGAAAATAATAAAATAATAAAAAAAACATAATTAAATAATTCTCACGACGTTTCGGCCACAACGCAAGCAGCCATCCTCAGGTGAAGAACAGGTCTGTCGGAAAGACAGCGTCTGAATGAAACTTCATTCATTCAGACGGAAAGACAGCGTCTGAATGAAACTTCATTCATTCAGACGCTGTCTTTCCGACAGACCTGTTCTTCACGCGAGGACGGCTGCTTGCGTTGTGGCCGAAACGTCGTGAGAATTATTTTATTATGTGTTATTTCTATTATTTTATTATTTCCCTTCTACGTCACTTTACCGAAAGAACCAAGAAGATGAATGTGTCGTTAAACCCGTCACCACCCGACACAGCCTATTCGTAAGGTTTGTCACGTAAACAGAACGTGGCCAATCCGTCACTAGTACAGCACACCGGTGTGTTGGGAGCGTAAACCTACAACATTTACAATTCGAGTAACGTGACGTTTCGCCGGTTATTACAACCAGCCTCGTCATGAGATTCACTGGGACTCTGCAGCAGCAGCAACTTTTGGCTAACCATCGAACAAAGACAGTCAACCGCATCGCGCACGCTTCTGTGGCCGTCTGGAACGTTCTTCTGATATTAGGAAGCCCACTGCAGCTACGCACTTTTAAATCATCCAGATTGAAAAACTTTTTTTTTTGAACTGGATTTTTGTGTTCAGTTCAACATAGTTTGTTTTCCTTCCCCCGCACCTCCGATTAGCACGGTTGGCTACGTACGGTGCGAATAAAGTTCAACGTACATCACACGTGCCGCAAGGAGAATCTAGAATCGATCTAGCGCTAACGAGATGGAGGCCACTGGCCCCCTCTCATTTGTAGCCTTTTCTCACTTCATCACTCATGTTAAAATGTGCATGGATATTGGCGATTGGGAATATGGGATGTCAAAATCCGATGAGTAATAGGTTCCTTATTTCTGCCTCTGTGAGCCTCGGGCTCAAGAACCCAAAAAGGTGCCTTGGTCGGTTAATTTATGTGCAGCGACCGCTTACGTCCGCAGAGTCGTCTACGTACTAATCGTACAAATAATAATAATAACACACGGTCCTTAGTCTATCCACCATGTCGGATGACGGCCTCCGTACACCAAGTCCGTCACAGGTTTTTGCTTGAAGCATACTTCACCACGCCGGTCAGCGCATGCTGGATGAGAGGCGGAGGGGCCTAGGGCCAAGATCAGACATCACCCGCCGCTGACGTTCGCTGTAGCCAGGAAGAAGAGAGAGACTCGGGTGGGCGGCTGGCTTCATAGCGCGCGGCGCGCCAAACCGGCAAACCACGCAGCCGCACACAATCTGAACGCGAAACACTGAGCGCAAATCCAAAGGGTGGCCATAACATCTGCCAGACGCGGCGACTCCATGGTATCCCACGGGACCTTGACCTCGCGACAACAGACGCAGCCTTATTAAGACGGAAAAGCCCCCTGAGTAAATCAGTGAATGGTGGAGACTAGTGGGAGGTGTGATTTACTGGCTGCCCTTGTATTAAGTGCTCTCGGGCCAAAATGTGAAATGGGATTTAAATAAGACGAGGATTGCAAAAACAACACAATTAAAGTAGAATTTGGATTCATATATACCGTCCGAGGTGGGGGCAGTGGTCAGCGCAACGCCGCTAGCTGTGAAGGTGGCAGACCCGAGTTCTATTCCCAGCCACGGCTAACCGCAGCGGCGGGAGATCCTAGGCCTCCGTAACCGTCCCAAACCCGGGAGCCATTTGTTGAAATTCCATAATCCTATGGCGGGGACGAGACTGGTTCAAGTGGTGGCAGCCACGCCATTGGCTCACTGCATCGCTCGCTTTCAGACGCGTGCTTCTACGGCCGTCTGGAACGCTCTTCCTCCCGATATTAGGAAGCATCCGGAGCTATGCACTTTTAAATCGACACTTAAAACTCATTTCTTTAGAGCTGCTTTTTGGCATTAGTTTGTTGTCCTTCCTCCGCACCTCTGATTAGCACGGTTGGCTAAGCACGGTGTGAAAGTGCAACATACATACATCATACAACCAACGGGTCACTGCGTAGACAGCAATAATCCAATTTGCGCCTTTCCGTTTGACGTACTTTCGCTATGACGTACTCGACTAAATTGATACCCAATCCCGTTGTACGCACTCTGGTACCTCGCTATAACCAAATGCCCTAATGCTCATGTAAATGAGCGCACATTTCCCGCACATTGACCCTTGACTTCTGGCCGAGATTAGCCGTGGACCAGGAATGGAACTCGGGTCAAGGGGTTTGTAGAGCAAGTACACTCACCACCGCAATGCCGCTCGCACAATTAGCACGCGTGTATAACATCTGAAGGGCAGATCGCCTGCCAAGCTCGGTGAAGGACCACCGATCCATCTTAAAAAATATCTTAAAAAAGACACAAGTTGTACGAAGCGGCCGTTACACGCTTAAAGCAAAGGCGATGAGTGCGTAAGCCGGGGTTTTTTTTTTTTAAAGCCACTCTCCGACCCGCGCCGCTGACGGAGAGTGAAGATGAGCATCCGTCGGGGATGGGACCCCCTTCATTACGACGGCAGCGCGAAAAACAAGCGTCGCGCACGCACGCCGACGACAACACAAACAACAACAACGATAACGACGACAAGGGCCCTCAGGGTAGACACACGGCTCTTCTGCTCGTCCATGCCACGGCGACGACCGCGCTCCGATTCGCACATCGAGTGCTCGCAAACGGTCCGGAGGGAGGGTGGGCTGAAGAGGGAACGGGAGCAGAGAGGGGGCACGCGAAACGGAGAGAGGACACTTGTGGGCAAACTGTGCTCGATGCGCAAACGCTTGGGAACGTCGTCAACGATGGGGTTTGACGAGCGGCCGAACTGCGCGTCGGCCCGATGGTCTACTTCGCGTGCGCGTACTGAGTGTGTGTACTGAGTGTGTGTACTGAGTGTGCGTACTAAGTGTGTGTACCGAGTGTGCGCACTGAGTGTGTGTGTACTGAGTGTGTGTGTACTGAGTGTGTGTGTACTGAGTGTGTGTGTACTGAGTGTGTGTGTACTGAGTGTGTGTGTACTGAGTGTGTGTGTACTGAGTGTGTGTGTACTGTGTGTGTGTACTGAGTGTGCATATACCGAGTGCGCGCGCGTCCTCAGAAGACGGATATCCCCCCCCCCCCCCACGGGCTACGAGCGGCGGTGGAGGTGAGGGCTTGGGCTGCGTGGCGAACGGCAGTCGCCACCTGCTGGCGGGGTTTCAGAACTGGATGTCTCAAAGACGTTAAACTAAACTACAGTATGTTATTTAACAACCTCACCTGGTGTGCAGGAGGTCGCGGGTTTGATCACAACCCTGACGCCTGCTGCTCTATATTTGGAGTTTGCGTGTCTCTCTCCCCGTGGCCGCGTGGATTTTTCTCCGGGGCCGCCAGTTGTTCCCTCCACATTTAGAATCAACATCGCGACGCGTTTTAGCGAATTCGGCCGCTGTGATGACGATAATCCACTTTGCAGAGCTGTAATTCGTGGCCAAGTCGCTTCTGAGAAAGAGCTACGTAGCTCAGTGGGCCTTCCTTACGTGGCAAAATAAAAAAAGTTGACTTCGTTTTAGGTTAGACTCTTTTTGTCATTTATACCGAGTGGGCTGCAGGGAATGCTGCACCTATCGGTTTTTAGAACTCGTGTGTTTAGTTTGTTGTCCTTCCCCCGCACCTCCAATTAGCACGGTTGGCTACGTACGGTGTGAAAGAAGTTCAACACACACATACGCACATCATGGGTAGAGGGAGGCGGTAAAGTCAAGGTGGCAGGGCCGGTCCCTTGGGGAACTCTCCTCAAAGCCGGCTCTTCACACACGTTCGCATCCCGTGTCGGGAATTTCTAACGTTAAATGTGTGTAATGCGAGGACATATCCGGGTTGCTGTTGGATTACACCTCGTATGATGATTGGCTCTGCCGGTCCTGGCCCATAGCCAATGGGGAGAAGTCTAGGGGCGTGGCCCTGACGTAATGGGAAGGTGACATCTGTAAGTAGAGAATTGGTTCTGCTGGCTTTAGCCACAGCCAATGGGGGGACGAGTCAGGGGCGTGGTCCTGGGAGCGTACCATGGAGTCTAGAAGATTCCATAGAGGCTAACCAGGATTGGTGGAAAGGTACCACGTGACCCGGGTATTGAAAGGGGTGGAGACGGACAACACGTGGTCAGATCTGGAACGAACGGAGGGTGAGGCCACGCTGGAGCGGGGTCCAGGCTGCCACGTGGTCCAGGCTGCCACGTGGTCCAGGCTGCCACGTGGTCCAGGCTGCCACGTGGTCCAGGCTGCCACGTGGTCCAGGCTGCCACGTGGCCGCGCGTGTCTCTCTCTCTCTCACGCTGTCTGTCAGCAGCGTGAAGGAGTAAGACGGGAGTGTTGTGAACGAAAGATTCCAGAAGTCTCCTCCACGACCTTTGTTACATGTGTAAGAGAAGAATCGTGTGGATGGCGGTATTGACGATGAAACAACGGGTCGCCCGCTGTTGCGCGAGATGCATTTGCGTATTTGCGTAGTACTCCTCGTACTCCAACGGCAAATGCTGCAAGTGGGTTTTACTCTCCAACGCACGACCGGTGTGCTGAACCGGTAACGAATTGGCACGTTCTGTTAACGTGGCAAACCTCTCACTCATTGGCTGTGTCGGGTGGTGGCGGGAACTAACGACACACATCTACATTTAAGCGATCGAACCCAAAAAAACCCCTCTATTGTGTGTATTCAGCGTCCCGTGGTGTGACGCCGAAAGCACGGTTGGAGGGTGGCGGGTGGAGTTAAAGACACAAAGACACGGGGGATGAGTGGGCGCCAGCGTACCGTGCAGGAGGATGTCTCGGAGCGAGCGGCTCTCCAGCGACAGTCTGGCGAGGCGTGGGGCGTGGTCCTTCCTCACCCTCAGCCACATGTCCTCCGTGCGCTCCAGGCGGCCCGAATGTTTTGCCTCCAGCTGTGAAAACGGCGAGCGGGGTTGGGTGGGAGGGGGTGGTCACGACGGAAACTCGCACGCCGCCGCCGCCGTCGTCGCAGTCGTCGCCGTCGTCGCCGTCAGATCGGGAGAATCCACGGCGCCGTCAAAACTACGGCGGTGTACCGACTTGAAGATAATCGATGGTCGCTCGGTCGGTCGGTCGCTCGCGCGGTACGACGCGAGCTTCGACTGTGGACCGGGCGACGCGGCCCAGCGGTGGCGCATTCGCCGGCATGACGCAGAAGGTTTCGCGGTTTGAATCCGGAAGGTTGCTCTGGGTTATTACTACCGCGGTTATTAAGCGTACGCGCACGCGCAGTCCGCTTCACGGTGGACGAGGAAGATCGCATGAGACATTCGGAAAGAGTAGGCCACCGTGCGTGTGCCGGCGTCACGCTTAAAATTTGCCAAATTCGATTAAACTCCGCGATTGGAAAATACAGTAAAACCTTGGATTGCAAGTAACTTGGTCTGCGAGTGTTTTGCAAGACGAGCAAAAAATTTAAATGAACATTAATTTGATAAACGAGCGAGGCCTTGCAACACGAATAGTACGTGTGTACGCTTTGTCTGCCGAGCGTCACGTGATCACAACTGATACACGAGTGCTTTGGATGACAAACATGTTTCCGGAACGAATTATGCTCGCGGTCCAAGGTTTTACTGCACCGCGCCGCAACATCGCCAACCTCCTGCGAAACTACCCCGCAGCCCGTGTCTGTGAGACATGGCGCCTTCGTGACAGCCTTGCGCTTCAAAGATCTGCGCGCGTACCAAACGCGCCAAATCACGACCCACCGCGATTCCGCAACGGCACCCGTCGACCCCAGACTTCACTGTTCCACTTTGGCGGCGGCGGCGTCTCACCTGGCGCAGCGAGGACGCGAAGGCCTCGTGCGAGTGGTTGAGCCGCGCGCGGAACTGGCTGCAGATGTTCTTGGCGAGCTTGGAGGCGCTGAGGCTCTCCATGGTGTCCTGCGCCACCTTGCGTTTCCACTCGGCCGTGGGCGCCGGCGGCGTCGTCCACGTGAGGCTGTGGATCAGCTGTGGTTCCGCACAGACGCAGGGTCGCGTACGGGACGCGGCGTGGCGTTGGAACAGGTCGCCAGGCCGCAAAGCCAGTCCAGCAAGGGAGCCTCTCGCCAGCCGGCTTGTTAGCGTTTTCCGTATTTCGTAAATTTTCTCCCGAATTTTATCGCGATTCTGATCACGACAAAGTATCCGTTTGGGTCGGTGTGAAACCCTTTGCGTTCCAGTAAATTTGCCAAATTCAAAAAGATGTACCTGCAGATCAGTCAATTGCGGCTACACGCCAGCACCCCTTGCGGGTAGACTCAGGTCAAGCGCCCGAGTCACCTTGTGCTGCACAGAGACAGCTGCCACTGGGGGTGCCCCTTTCCAATGTTCGAGATGAAGATGTGACGTGAGCCGCTTATTGCGCGGAAAAGCGCTCCCGAGACGTTCCGGTGTACAGGGTTGCTGCTCTTTCAAAAACAAATCAGAATATTAATTTATACTACAGGAGGAATACGATGAGCTATGAAGCTATTTTTCACAATTGGGAAAAAATACAAAAACATGATAGGAGTGCAAAGTATTGGAAAGTTAAACAAATCACTTGACAATATACAAATTAAACTAGATAACTTTTTTTTTAATCGCTAACCTTAAGATTACGCAACGCGCAACATACAAATTAGAACCGCGACGCTTTATTTGCTAGGGTCAGCGCCAAAATGCAGAATGTCCCCAGCCACCCACCCCCCGAGGGTCACATTGGACGGTGGCACACAAACGCCACTGTCCGTCCCCCCCCCCCGCACGCAGTCACGAGCTGCCGGCCGGCCCGGCGAGCCTGTGCCTCGTGACTCCTGACCCCCGGGGGTCATGAGCACAAGGGGGCGGCACTCAACCTCGTGACTCCTGGCCCCCGAGGGTCATGGCCACAAGGAGGCGGCACCCAGCCTCGTGACCCTTGACCCCCAGGGGTCATGAACACAAGGGGGCGGCACTCGTGGGGCCGCTCCTCTGTTGGGGACGCTGCCATCGTAATATTATTCAAACGGGGCGATGATGTTACGTACGGGCTTATAGAGTGGACAACACTGCACGAACCAGACGTAAGAAACACAACAAACTAGACCAGGCCCACCTGCTTAATCTGCTCCCAGAGGATGTAGGCGACGGAGGAACCCGACTGGAAGGTGACCTCCACGTGGTAGGCCGCGTTCAAGATCTGCCGGGACGCGCGTGGGGAGGGGGGGGCACGGTAAGGACAGAGCGAGCGAGCAACTCCCCCACCCCCCTCCATACAACCGATCGCGTGAAGTCCTTAAAAAAGGGTCGCGGAGGCAGATAACGCAGCGCTCGCTTCAAGTGACGCGCGGGCAGAAGTAAGCGACTTCCCACTCGCACCGGCACAGGCAGCAGCGAGTGAGGGTTCGTCGCTTGACCGTCAGCCCCACATTCTCATTCTCAGAGATGAAATTCGGCCAAATTCACTGCAGAAACGAATGTAACGCGAGGGTTTTGTTTTGCAGTGGTGGTCAGGCCGAGACGATCGACTTGCTAGGCTCCAGCGCCCAGTTGAATCACAACTCATTCACCGTGAATCTGTGGGTCTCTGAATTTCTACAAGTCTCCTGCTCTGAGTCCATAGATTTTCTGTGTACATCTACGGGTCTCTATGAATTTAATTGGTGACCTGGGCAGAAACGGTCAATGAACACTACACTTGAAAACCCGGACATACAGGCAGGCAGAGAAATGGATGGACAGACGGATGAATGGACACAGACACAGGCAGACAGTGCACACCTCACCACCACCCCCCCCGCCCCCACCTGCTTGAGGTGCGAGCTGGTGAGGCTGTTGCTGGTGACGTCCCCGCCCGACTTCTCGAGCGAGTCGAGGCAGCGCGCGAGCGTGCCCACGAAGCTCTCGCGCAGGTAGTCCACCGAGGCGATGAGCTTGCTGGCCACCGCCTCCTTCAGACGCTTCAGCACCAGCTCCTGGATGTGCTTGGAGCAGCGCTGGACGCCACGTCCGCTGCCCGACTCCCCGTTGCTCACAGGAACGTCTGCGACGAAAGACAACGGCGGCGATGCCCGGTTGTTGTTGTTGTTTTTCTCTTCCCCAACGCGGCGGGAGAACAATAACAACGGCAAGTAAAGTTTCCCAACGCAGTACGTTACACTGGCCGCGCAGAGACGGCGCCGCTGTTTTTGTATTTCTCACTCGCCCAACCACCCACTCACCCAACCACCCACTCACTTCTAGACTTGAAGCTTTCGTGACTGCAAGGATTCATATCCACTCACTCACCCACCCACCCACCCAACTGCCCACTCACTCACCCAACCACCCACCCACGCAACCACCCACCTACCCACGCACCCACCCACGCACGCACCCACCCACGCACCCACCCACGCACGCACGCACGCACCCACCCACGCACGCACCCACCCACGCACCCACCCACTCACCCACGCACCCACCACACTGCAGGCCAAAACTGCTTCGCTTTCTGCCTTCACTTTGGAATTCCCTCTCTCACAAGAAGTTTGTACTATTTGTGCCCAGTTCAGGATACGTCAACTTGCTACACCTCACTTTATTCTGCTGATTGTAAGACGCACCACTGCCTCTGTATTTCAGACCAAAAATGTGGGGTATATTTTTCGCTTTAGAGCTTTCGTGACCCAAGTACAGAACACGCAGTCAACCCCGGACATCTTTTGGTTCTTTCGGTAAAGTCACATAGAAGGGAAGTAATAAAATAATAATATAATTGGGTCGATGTGCGTGTGTGTGTAAGGGTATGTATAAATGTATGTTTAATATATGTTTAACGGCAAGGGACAAAGGGGGGGGGGGGGGATGTGGGGGGAGTAGTCAGGATTCATAATGGCCGTGTAAGAGCCGGCACAGCTGAGACCTGGAGTTGGCATGTCCGAGGGCGCCGGTTTTGACCGCGTGCGATTTATCGGGGGTCGTACAGCTACGGGGGTCAACACGTGAAAAATTTACGTCGTTGAAAAAGTTGGCTTGTGAAGGTGGCCGGGTGGTTTGGGGGGGCTGGTTGTACGTACGTGCGTTGAACTTCCTTCGCACCGTACGTAGCCAACCGTGCTAATCGGAGGTGCGTAACCAGATCCGTGCAACTGCGTCGACACCGGGCACGAGTTTTGGGCACGTCTTACTTTTCCGCAGAGCTTCTGGTAATCCGGATAAAGTGCCAATCGTCGAGAGGTTTGTTTGAAGTGAGCAGGTTACGAGGAGAAAGTGGGAAAATAAACGATGGGAGGGAATTCCAGTGCGGAGCGGTGCGAGGAAAGTAGCACGCCGAGAAGATTTGTGACCTGCTGGACATTAACCGCCCCCACCCCCCACCCCCACCCGATTGGCTCGCAAGTGACGACATCACAATCATCCCCACCTCTGTTTAAGACCGAAACAGGAGGTGGATTTCGCCAAAAATCTGCGGCTGTCCGCCTGATGATGCTGGTTGTTGTAATTGCCGGCGAAACTTTACGGTACAGGAATGGTAAATGTTGTCGTGGGTTTGCTCTCTGACACAACGGTGTGCTGAACTAGTAACTAATTGGCACGTTCTGTTTACGTGACAAACCTTACTCATTGGCTGTGTCGGGTGGTGGCGGGTTTAACGACGCATTTACGCGCTCTAACCCAAAAGCCTCTCTTATGGATTATATCGGTGGCGAAAACCCCCTCCTCCTCCTGCGACTGCTGCGTGTTAAACTCCTGTACACGCTCGCGATTGTGCCCTTTGGGGGGGCCGGTGTTTGACAACCGCGATCAAAAAAAAAAACCCGGCAAAAATTTGTCGCATCAAACCCGCGGTAACGACCGCCATCTCCCCTCTCTCTCGCCAAACCCTTAACCCTAAACCGTAAAACCCTATCCGTTAACCGCAACCCTAACCCACAGCCACGACCGCACCACCACCCCACCCCCCCTCCCCGCCGACGAACCGGCGAACTCGGTGGTGGCCGCCTCCTCCAGCAGCTGCTTGCGCATGCTGTCGAGCGTGTCGACGATCATCTGGCGGATCTCCTCCTGCTTCTCGTTGGCGATCTCGAGCAGCGACGCGTACAGCTCCTCCTCCTTGGCGCGCGTGTACTGCAGGCGGCGCGGCGTGATCTGCAGGTCGCGCGCCATGTCGAACGCGTGGCTGATGAACAGGTCGAGGCCGCGGGCGTGCACCCCGCCCAGGACGCCCGTCGCCTCCACGAGCCGAGCGTGCAGCGCCAGCCGCGAGAAGTGCGGCAGCCGGTCGGCGCAGTCCGTCAGCGCGCTGTGAGCCCGGCCCGCCGACGCGCCCGCCGACGCGCCGCCGAGGTAGTCCAGCCCGACGAGCTGCCGGTGCAGTGCCGTGCCGCCGCAGTTGTTGCCGGCGCTCAGGAGGTCCCTTTCCAGTTTGGCGTAGGTGGTGGTGAGGCGGGCGTAGGGGGGCGCGGGCGCGGACAGCGTGTGCGGGGGCAGGCGCAGGAAGAAGACCGGCTCGGAGAAGTTCTGCTTGAGGTGCGCCAGCTCGAGGGCGTCGGCGTCGGACAGCCGGTCGCAGGCGACGGCGTAGAGGACGACGGGCAGGAAGTGGCTGCGCAGCTCCTCCAGCGCGGCGGTGAGCGGCTGCAGCTGCCGCGACGGCGCCAGCACCACGCTCACCTCCTGGTGGGGCGGGGGCGGGCACGCGGGGTGACGCGGGTTGTACGGTTAGCACGGCACGGCTCCGATCATCGCGTTTGGCTACGTACGGCGCGAAACGCACACGTGCGTACGTAAATATATATAGGGGCAAACAGACACACGGACAGAGACACGCACACACAGAAACGCAGACACGTGGGCATTCGGGCAGACAGGTACACAGGCGCGCACACACACAGGCAGACCGGCACACAGACGCATGGTCACACAGACACATGGGCATATCAGCAGACATAAGCACAGACACATAGATGCATAGACACAGGGGCATGCAGACCAGAGGTCGCAAACGGGTTTTGATTCCTTACCCGTACCCGTACCCGGCCGCACCAGGGTCGCAAACGGGTACCCGTACCCGGCTGGGTACGGGTACCCGTTCCCTACCCGTACCCGTACCCCACCCGAAATGAGTGACAAACGGTGACTCACCAGTGACTCACGGCCTACCCGTACCCATACCCGGCCGCACCAGGGTCGCAAACGACTACCCGTATCCGTACCCGGCCGGGTATCGGGTAGGGTACGGGTATCGGGTACCCGGTTGTGACCTCTGACGCAGACGCATGGAGCACCTATTAAGGATGGCACGGTACGAATTGTGGGTGGCGTGTATCCAGGAGCATGCCTGACTGCCCGTGTTGTTTAACAGTCCGTGCCGGGTACTCAATTAAGGCCGAGAAGGCCGAGGACAACAAGAAGATCATATACCACTCTCCACCGACGTTAGCCTTGAGCGGGAAATTAAACGCAAGTCGGTGGGTTCGTAGCGCAATGTGCCAACCACTGCACTGCTGCATACCACGCATATTCATGGAAAGGCATTTGGATGTACCGGCGAACAGGGAGACAAACAGGCAGCCAGAGAAGAAAGGCAGAGTGGCAGGTAGGTAGAAAGTCAGTCAAACAGGTACAGACCCGATGGTCAGGCAGGCAAGCCGACAGGTAGACAGATGGGCAGACAGAAAGTAAAACAGGCAGGCGGACACAGTCAAACAGGTAGACAGACAACCAATGAAGCAGGTAAAACAGGTGTGCTGGGTAGTAAACCCACTGCGCTAACCACCGTCCCACGCCCTCCACTCGTAAATGCACACACGCACGCACACCAACACGCACCTTCGATTAACACGGTTGGCTACGTAGGATGCAAAGTAATTTTAACATACGTACATACAACAGGCCATGCTTTGCCATTAGGAACCAACTATTTTTTATTTCACCAGCTAAGGCCCACTGAGCTATGCAGCTCTCTTTCATGAGCGGCCTAGCGACAAATGACAGCCCAACTAAGTGGCCTGTCATCACGTGCCAATGTATAGCCGCCAAATTCTCTAAACGCGTGACATTGCTGAAATGTGGAGCGAAAAAAACCGCGGACCAGGAAAAAAATCCACGCGACCACGGGGAGAGACACACGCAAACTCCAAGTGTGTACAGGCGTCGGGATCGAACCCACAACCTCCTGTATACCAGGCGAGGTAGTTAACATCTCCTAGCCATCGTGACGGTGATGAGAGAGAGAGAGACGCAAACTCCAAATATACAGCAGCAGGCGTCAGGGTTGGGATGGAACCCACGACCTCCTGTATACCAGGCGAGGTAGTTAACATCTCCTAGCCGCCGTGGTGCCCAGTACTTAAAAACTTCCCAGTTGCCATGGTAACCACACATGTTGTTAAAAACAAAGCAGATGATTATTGGAGCTCACGCGCAGCATTCCTTGCGCCCGCAGGCTACTCGCTATGAACTTTCCCTGGCAACACGGGAGCGTTGTTGTTACTCGCCAACACAACAACAACAACACGCTGCCTTGCACGTTGTTGTTACCCGCCTACACCACAACAACAACAACACGCTGCCTTGCACGTTGTGTTACCCGCACACACCACAACAACAACAACAGTTCGCCTTGCACGTTGTGTTACCCGCACAAACCACAACAACAACACGCTGCCTCGCACGTTGTGTCATCGCCGCAGCTGTGCCAGCAAGACGCCCGCTGGCCATGACAATGCCAACGCGGCCGCAATAATCCGCGAGGGGCGTGAAGGCGACGACATATTGGGTTTAGGAACTACGGCTCGTGACAATGGGACAGTTCTGCGGGTTCTCTGCGCGCTCGCGAGGGCGATGAAAACTGAGGGGCGTGTGTCGGGGCGGGGGGGGACAAGGCGTGTAGGCGAGGAGGACAGGCCGGGGCGAGAGAACGCGCGCAGGCCAGAGACGTCGTGAAGGCCGAGGGTCGTGCCTCACAGCGGAACGCGAGCCCAAGGAGGGGGCCACTCCCGCGGGGGACGTGGAGCCGTGAAATCCGCTCGCGTGCACGCGGCCGCCAGGTTCCCGCATCGTGCGATCGTGAGGGATGGCGACGGGCTTCGGGAGGCCCTCGGTGTTCGTACGCCGAGCTTCCTTCGCACCGTAACGTAGCCAACCGTGCCGGTCGGAGGGCGGGTGGGGAAAGACGACGAATTGATGAGGGACCCTTTGTGTTTGACCGTCATTCCCCACACACGTTCGAATATCCGACCTTCTCACTTGTCCGCCTGTACTTCAGTCCCCAGCTGGTCGGATATGCGAAGTTGTACTTCATATATATATTTTCATACATTATATATTGGATTCATCTTCTTGGTTCTTTCGGTAAAGTCACGTAGAATGGAAATACGTGACTTTACCGAAAGAACCAAGAAGATGAATCCCTGCAGTCATGAAAGCTTTAAATCGAAATTACATATGGGATGTTTATTGGGTGTTTTTTTTCACTTGGCGATCGTGTCGACTCGGTGCTAATGAAGTATTCCTGCCCGTGCGACATTCCGCACGTGAGTGGGCGCCTGGCTTCAGCGTGGCGCGCCCCGCCGCGACGTTCCGGCACCGCGTTGTTAAAACTCCCGCGCCGTTAATTATATCCCGTTGGTGGGTGCTTGTAATTTATCATCATGGCAAAAACAAAATACACTTTTTCTTTTACCAGGTCAGGCCAGAGGTCGCAACCGGGTACCCGATACCCGTACCCTACCCGATACCCGGCTACCCGTACCCGGCCGGGTACGGGTAGCCGTTTGCGACCCTGGTGCGGCCGGGTACGGGTACAGGTAGGCCGTGAGTCACTGGTGAGTAACCGTTTGTCACTCATTTCCCAACGTCTTGTCTCTTCTCACAATTCAAGTTCCTAGAATCAACCCACCCGCGCCTGCAACATGGCTTCATCCCAGAGGTCGCAATCAGGTACCCGATACCCGTTCCTTACCCGTACCCGGCCGGGTATGGGTAGGGTACGGGTACGGCCGGGTACGGGTACCCGTTTGCGACCCTGGTGCGGCCGGGTACGGGTACGGAATCAAAACCCGTTTGCGACCTCTGGGTCGCAGCTGTTTTTGAGTAGCGACCTGGCTAGCACTAATGATAGGCAAACGAAGTGGCTTGTCATCATCACGTGGGGATTTCTAGCAGCCAAATACTCTAAACGCGTGATGTTGATTCTAAAGGCGGAGGGGGGAAACCGGGGGACCCGGAGAAAAATCCACGCGAGCACAGGGAGACCGCGCAAACTTCAAATATACAGCAGCAGGCGTCAGGGTCCGGATCGAACCCACGACCTCCTGTGTACCAGGCGGGGTAGTTAACATCTCCTAGCCACCGTGATGAGAGAGAGAGAGACACGCAAACTCCAAATATACAGCAGGCGTCAGGGTCGGGATCGAACCCACGACCTCCTGTATACCAGGCGAGGTAGTTAACATCTCCTAGCCACCGTGATGAGAGAGAAAGAGACACGCAAACTCCAAATATACAGCAGGCGTCAGGGTCGGGATTGAACCCACGACCTCCTGTGTACCAGGCGGGGTAGTTAACACCTCCTAGCCACCGTGATGAGGAGAGAGACACGCAAACTCCAAATATACAGCAGGCGTCAGGGTCGGGATCGAACCCACGACCTCCTGTGTACCAGGCGAGGTAGTTAACATCTCATAGCCACCGTGATGAGAGAGAAAGAGACACGCAAACTCCAAATATACAGCAGGCGTCAGGGTCGGGATCGAACCCACGACCTCCTGTGTACCAGGCGAGGCAGTTAACATCTCCTAGCCACCGTGATGAGAAAGAGACATGCAAACTCCAAATATACAGCAGCAGGCGTCAGGGTCGGGATCGAACCCACGACCTCCTGTGTACCAGGCGAGGCAGTTAACATCTCCTAGCCACCGTGATGAGAGAGAGAGAGACACGCAAACTTCAAATATACAGCAGCAGGCGTCAGGGTCGGGATCGAACCCACGACCTCCTGTATACCAGGCGAGGTAGTTAACATCTCCTCGCCACCGTGGCGCGCCCCACGGACGGCTCCTCGAGATCAGTTGATCGTCAACCCCTCCGTGCGACCGCCAGCAGCGCCCCGCGCGGTCACCTTGAGCAGCGGGTGCGGCAGGCTGAGCTCCAGCTGAGCTTGCCGGAACGCCGGGTCTTGGCACTCGGGCTGGAGCATGCGCAGGTAAGCGGCGGTAGCGGCAACAGCAGCCGGCGTCCTCTCCCAGTCGTCGTCTTCGTGCTGCTGCTGCTGCAGCTGCTGTTGCAGCTGCTGCTGTAGCTGCTGCTGTAGCTGTTGCTGCTGCAGCTGCTGCTGCTGCGGCTGTTGCGACTGCTCCTGCTGCTGCAGAGGCTGCTGCGGCGGCGTGGCCTGCTGCGGGTGCAGCAGCTCAAACTGCCCCGGCAGGACGAGGCTGGCGCGACGCTCCGTGCCGTGCCGCAGCCGCGTTGCCCGGCACGCCGCTCCCGTGCTGCCGCCACCGTCGCCGCCGCCGCCGCCATTGCCGTTCCCGACGCCGTCGGCAGTTCCACCGCCCGCATTGTCCGCTACAGCCGGGAGGCCGGGAGGAGAGAGAGCGGAGTGCGGTTGAGGGGGAGCTGTTGGGGACGGAGGTCGCAAACGGGTTTTGATTCCTTACCCGTACCCGGCTGCACCAGGGTCGCAAATGGGTACCCGTATCCGTACCCAGCCGGGTACGGGTACCCGTTCCCTACCCGAAATGAGTGACAAACAGTTACTCACCAGTGACTCATGGCCTACCCGTACCCTACCCGAAATGAGTGACAAACAGTTACTCACCAGTGACTCACGGCCTACCCGTACCCGGCCGCACCAGGGTCGCAAACGGCTACCCGTACCCGTAACCGGCCGGGTACGGGTAGCCGGGTATCGGGTAGGGTACGGGTATCGGGTACCCGGTTGCGACCTCTGGGACGAATTCCACTTTCGCACGATGCAGTCTCGTCCCCGAGACATTCGAAGTATGTCGGTCTTGGGCGAATGGGCTCGTGCGTGTACAAGTACGTTCACTTAGTCGCACGCGGACGACTGCTTGAAGAGGCGCTGAAACGCGTCGTCCGCACAACGAGAAAGCTTTTCCGAATATTCACGCACGGGCGTGCATTCAAACATTTTCTAAAGCCGATGCAACTCATTGAACCCCTGGGGCTAGAGTAGGCCAAATATCCCCCCCACCCCCCAGAAGGGCCCCCTAGAGCCCCTCCTCGTGAAGGAATTTCTGGCAGGCCGTGGTATGAGGCAGCAATTTCAAAAATCGCAAAAATGCTAAACAAAGGGTGTTGAATGATCATCAGAAAGCCGCGCTGCCGAGATGTTAACTACCTCGCCTGGTATACAGGAGGTCGTGGGTTCGATCCCTGACACCTGCTGCTGTATATTTGGAGTTTGCATGTTCCCTCTCCCCGTGGTCGCGTGGATTTTTCTCCGGGTCCTCCGGTTTTCCCCTCCACATTTAGAATGAACACCATGCGTTTAGAGTGATGATGACAAGCCACTTAATCGGGCTTTCATTCGTGGCCAGATCGCTTCTGATAAAGATCTCCATAGCTCAGCGGGCCTTAACACCTGGTAACATAGAAAATAGCTTCCAGTTCAAATAGTTTAAAATAGCTCGCAATTCATCTCTCGGCTTGCCGATACGTGCCAGTACAGCACAAGCGGATTAATTCCCTTGCACGGGGGGAGGATCGAGTTTACGGTCGGCCCCTTTGTCGTTTGAACGCAAGTGACGAGAGCGGGGCCGCACCGTCCGAGGGAAGGTCGGGCAGCACGCGCTCCCCGAGGATGCACTCGAGCGCACGCAGCTTGGCGCCGTCGCTGGTGCCGGCGATGAGGAGGCACGGGGCGCAGTCGCCCACCGAGTGGAGGTAGGCGAGCTCGTGTGCCGGGAAAGAGATGCAGCTGCGCTGGTCTGCGGGGGGGTGTGGGGAGGGTCACGCGGACACGAGCGGATTAACGTCGTTGTTTCTGAGCTCTAGACGGCGCACTGGTCGACGCGGACAACACACGCATCCGCCAGCACGAGCAGCGGCGGAGAGAGGGCGGATCAAAGTGGTCGTCGTCATCGTCGTCATCGTCATCATGATAACCGTCGTCGTCATATCCGAGCTCTAGATGATGCATTGCGCTGCGGTAACAAAACATGTACAGCACCACCAGGACTACCGGCGAAGAGAATGTATGAATGTCATCATCATCATCATCGTCGTCGTCAACATTATCATCATCTCCAAGCTGTAGATGATGCATTGGCCTGCGGTGAGAAAACATGCACGGCATCACCAGGACTACCGGTGAAGAGAATGTATGAATGTCGTCATCATTATCGTCATCGTCGTCAACATCATCGTCAACATTATCATCATCTCCAAGCTGTAGATGATAAACTGGCCCGTGGTGACGACACACACACACACAGGACCACGTACGAGGCTGAATTATCACCATTGACATCATCATTGTCATTATCGCCAAACTCCAGGTGATGCGCTGGACTGCGGTGACCACGCACAGCCACAGCAGTGGACGAACGACATCATCATCACGTGATTGACCATTTCTGTGTTTAAGTTCATATTCCAATGAGGTTCTTTGTAAGTCTACGGGTCAAATGTTTGCGTATGGATTCTATGTAAGTCTATGCGTCTTATGTTAGTGTATGGGTTCTGCATAAGTCTTTGGATTCTACATTAAGGTATGGGTCCTATGTAAGTCTATGGGTCCGACGTGAGTTTATGGGCCCTATATTAACGTATGAATCCGATGTGTGCGTGTCCTATGTCAGTAAATATATAATTTTTCCTGTCTGCTGTAACATCGTCAGTGCTCTTAGTTGACAACGATGCACCCCCCAACCTTCTTTTGCCTTAAGATACGAGGAAAAACAAGTGCGTCATAATCCGGAGAATACAACATTCAAATCATTTGCTCAAAAAATCCTCTTAAACCGTCACCCGGCCCCCGAGCAAAACGCGACGCTGCGGAATCGCACAACAACTTCATCGTCGGATTTTTTTTCTTTCTTGGCAGGGCAGCCACGCAAACCGGCGGGAGTACAGTAGCGGCTTTGTGAGCACCGCCATTTGTCGACGGCGGGGTGGAGGCAACGGGATGATGCGCGACAAAACAAAGAAAAAATTAACCCGTAAAAACAAAGTTTTTCACTATAAATCCTTTATATGCGTGGCGGCTAGAGTCCTCTCGTCCTCCGGCTTGAGATGGCTGCCACCTATGGGTCAGATGATTGCCTGCCACCATTAAGCAATTGGTAATTAAATATAATTAATTTTTTCCTAAAAAGTGTAAAATTATGGGGAAAAAATTTCACGAAAATAGATTGTCACGCACAACGAGTCTGTGTGCAAAATGTCAGCTCGATTGGATCACGGGAAGTGGGTTAAAAAACGACCGAAAGATTTACATGGTCGTAAGCGCGCAAGCAAGCAAGCGAACTTAATATAAAGGATTTAAAAAGAGCAAAATGGCAGCGGCGCTCGCTCTGTCCGATAGCCCCAAACCACGGGGCGGGGAAAACCTTCCAGTTTCAAGTTGATTTCGCGATAACCAAGGCGAGAGCTCAAAGAGACCAGGCTGAATGTCACTTGCGAGAGTGACCGAGGGCATTTCATTAGTCTGCCAGTCGGAGGAGGTCGTGGGTTCAATCACGTGTAATGCAATTGAGTAACCTGCCGTCCCATTCGGATACTGACGCACACGTACGTATGTGTGTGTAAGTAGAACTTCTTTCGCACCGTACGTGGCCAACCGTGCTAATTGGAGGTGCAGATGACCAACTGTTGCAAATGACATCGGGGGGTTCTTTCGCGTCCGTTGCGAGTGAAGCTGACGGCGATCACGGTTATCAGATCCACAACAATAACAAGGTGACTGTAACGATGGTAGCTGGTGAACGTGCTATCACTCAGCCAAGTCACCAGCCAAACGCTTTTCCTTACTAAGGGCCGAACAAGATACTCCGATACTATTGGCAATCCACATATCAACACACGCCTCGGGATTATACAACAAACGGCGCACGTGCAGCGCTGCGGCATACCGGCATTGCACGTGTTGAACTTCTTTCGCACCGTACGTAGCCAAGCGTGCTAATCGGAGGTGCGGGGGAAGGACAACAAACTAAACACAAAGAGCAGTTGTGAAGGTGGAGGAAAGGGGCCTCACAACTCAAGAGGGGGCAGAAGAGAGCCCATCTCAACGCAATTTTGGGCCCACTATGGATAATCATTTCAACTTGTAACGCACACGCAGCGTTCGCTCGCCCTCAAAGAGAGAGAGAGAGAGAGCACGACTCAAGGGGCACGGGGAGGAACCACGGGATAATTTTTTTTGGAAGATTTGCTGGTTTATCCAGGATGTTTCTTTTCGATTTAAAGCTTTCGTGACTGCAGGGATTCATCTTCTTGGTTCTTTCGGTAAAGTCACGTAGAATGGAAATAATAAAATAATAAAAATAAAACATCATAAAATAATTCTCACGACGTTTCGGCCACAACACAAGCAGCCGTCCTCAGGTGGAGAACAGGTCTGTCGAGTAGACAGCGTCTCTCTGTCTTCAGCCGCTGTCTTCACGACAGACCTGTTCTTCACCTGAGGACGGCTGCTTGTGTTGTGGCCGAAACGTCGTGAGAATTATTTTATTATGTTTAATTTTATTATTTTATTATTTCCATTCTACGTGACTTTACCGAAAGAACCAAGCAGACAGGATGTTTCTGTTGCGCGTCGTCGCTTTAAGATGTTCTTCGTTCATATTTAGTTTGTTGCGGTTGCACCCGACTCAAGAGCCGCATGGCTCACAGGGCTATACCAAATAAATGAAACTTGAATGAAATGAAACTTGAAGTGGGAACGCAGCCGGGCAGTGAGCCGGCACCACCAGTTACCCCAGCTCTACAATCCCCAACGTATTAAGATGTTTTCAGCCAATTAACGGCGGTTTGTACGCGGGAGGTAAACCAGAGTACCCGAAGAAGATCCGCACGTGCGACAACACCCGACCCCGTGCAGCACGCCGAGTTCCACATTTGCTTGCACCCCGACGTCCACGGGAAGGGGCTTTCACGACACCTGAGCGATCCACCAACCCTCGCCTCCACGCTGCTCAATTCACAGGCGTGCCCGGCCCGCCGCCACCACCGCCGCCGCCCTGCTGCGACTCTTCCACGCTCGACAGGGACGAGCCGTTGCTCTGATCCGCGGTCGACTCGCCACAGGAGTTTTCCGCTCCAACCACGGCTTCTGCTCCTGGGATCTGGAAATCTCGGCCGCTTGAAACGAGCGCAGCTGAGACCCTGCCCATGAAAACAGGCGCATCTGTTTTCGTGGGCATGCGTCCATAATAGTTGTTTTGTTGGGGTTAGATGGCGTGAATGTAAATGTTGTCGTTAAACCCGCCAACACCCGACACAGCCAATTAGTAAGGTTTGTCACGCAAACGAAACGTGCCAATTAGTTACTAGTACAGCACACCGCTTGTGTGTTGGAGAGTAAAGCCACAACATTTACAATTCGAGTGCCGTGACGTTTCGCCGGCAAATTACAACAACCAGCGTCATCAGGCGGACAGCCGCAGATATGTGGAGAAATCTTTGTCCTGTTGCGGTCTCAAATAGAGGTGGGTAAAAATGTGCCCGCAAAAACAAAGTTTTTCACTATAAATCCTTTATATGCGTGGCGGCTAGAGTCCTCTCGTCCTCTGGCTTGAGATGGCTGCCACCTATGGGTCAGATGATTGCCTGCCACCATTAAGCAATTGGTAATTACATATAATAAAAAAAAATTCCTAAAAAGTGTGAAATTTTAGAAAAAAAAATTCACTAAAATAAATTCTCACGCACAACGAGTCTGTGTGCAAAATGTCAGCTCGATTGGATCACGGGAAGTGGGTTAAAAAACGACCGAAAGATTTGCACGGTCGTAAGCGCGCAAGCAAGCAAGCAAACGAACTTAATATAAAGGATTTAAAAATGTGACGTCATCAACTGTGAGTCAATCGGGTGCGAAGACCAGAGGGGGGGGGGGGGTGTTTAATGTGGTCGTATAAATTCCTTCATTTTTCGCGTCTACCGCTCTGTTAGCGCCCAACTCGTTTCACGCTTCACGTCTCGTGCGACGCGTCTGGAGTTGCGTAGCGACAGACACGGCTGTGTGGACGGCGATGCCAGAGGACCGAAGAAGCCTGCACCGTTGACGTGCCACGAAATGGAATCTAGCCGGCGACCTCTGGATTGCAGGCCTAACCACGTGTGCTAACCAGCACGCGCGCACCGACCGATCACCGACGAATCCCTTGCGACGACGTCAGAAGTCACCGAGCACGATAAAATGACACACGCGGCATTGCTGGCTTTGGAGTTCCCTCTCACCATCTCCTTAATGGGCATTATCATAATCTAGATTTGAAGCTTTCGTGACTGCAAGGATTCATACTCTTAGCTCTTTCGGTAATGTTACGTAGGTAAAAAATGAAATTAAAATTAATAAAAATAAAACAATATTTTTATTAATTTTTATTTCATTTTTTACCTTCGTGACTTTACCGAAAGAACTAAGAGTTAAGTATTATCATCATAATTTTTATCACGATTGTCGTTACGACCATGCTCTCTCCGAATCGGATCATAGGACGCTCCGGAAATTTTCTGTCGTACGGCTGCTGATGTAGATGCAAAGCAACAACTTTAATTTCGAAATCAAGTGGTCAAGCCAGCAGATCAGCGCGTCAGGAGCAGCAGCGGAATAGTGTATCGCCGTGATGTCTCTTTCGTATTTGCGGATCGGTGCATTGCGTTGTTATCCGTTGTACGGTCTATTCTGAATGACGACAGTCGCACACTGGAGGGGTTTTAATTTTCCATTGGTGCGTCAGGTATCCGCGTCTGCCACGGTTTG